TCAAAACACTAAGCATAAGACCCCAAACTATAGAACCACTAGATGAAAACATAAGGAAACACTCTGTAAAATTTGTTTGGTTTCCTGCATGATAGTCAAAAAACAGAACAAAAGAAAAAAAAAGAAAAGAAATTGCACAAAACTAAAAATTTTTACATTGCAATAGAACAATTAATAGAGTATGAACACAATCTGTTGATTATGAAGAAACATTTGCAAAACAAATATTTGTTGATAGGTAAGTATCTCAAATGTATAAGGAACCCAATCAAATAAGTAACTAGCAAACAAGTGATCCAATAAGAAATGGACAAAAGACTTAAATGCCAATGTGTAGAAGGTATAAGAAACTGTTCAAATCATTGAGGAAACAGAAATTAAACCACAATGAGTTAATAACTCGTATCTTGTTAGAATGACTATGATAAATTGGCAGGAGCATGAAGAAAAGGGAATTCTTATGTGTTGTTGATGGGAATGTAAATAAATTCAATAATTACAGAAAACAGTATGGAAGTTCTTCAAAAAACTGAAAATAGAACTAGCATGTGATCTAACAATACTACTGCTGGGCGCATATCCAAAGGAACTAAAAATCAATGTTATAGGAATGTCCCTATTCAGATATTTACTATAACTTTGTATATAATAGCTAAAAAATAGAATTGATCTAGGTGTGATCATCAGATAAATGAATAAAGAAATATAACTTATATGTACATATTCAGCCTCTAAAAAATGAGATACTTGGCTAGGGACATAACTCAGTTGAGAAAGTACTTGCTATGCAAGTACAAGGACCCTAGTTCAAGCCCTGGGGCCCATGTTTAAAAGGTTAGAGGAGGTAGGTGGAATATTAGGGTAGGGAGTGAATGTGATTAAAATGTATTGTATGAAAATTCCAAAGAATTAATAAAAAATGCTTCAAAACATAACATCAGGCCATGGTGGTAAGCACCTGCAAACCTGTCACTGGGGAAGTGGAGACAGGCAGATTCCTGGTGCTCTCTGGTCAGTGCATATTAAGGAATGAAAGGAGCTTGAGATAAAGATATCCTTTATTAGAAAAACACCAGCCAAACGCAAGCCAGAGCATGCCAGGGGCAGCAAGACAGAGAGGCTAGAGAGTTGGAGAGTAGGGGCTCCCATGTGCCTTGCTGCCCTGTAAAACCCTATCACATGTCATCCTGACTTCATCTTGACCAGGCCCTGACAGGCGTGGTGAGGCACACCTGTAGCCAGCTTCTAGCAGGCGTGGCTTACACTGTCTCCCCTACAAGTGCACTTACTCTAACTGGTGAGTTCTAGGCCAGTGACAAACAAAATTGATGTCACCAAGGAAGAATACCTGAATCTGATCCCAGACTCAGAGTACATGTCCCCATGTACTCCCACATAGGCATGCACCCATATGCACACACAGAGAAAAAAAAGAGAGACTGTGTTCATGACAATAGCAATAGTAATAAAAGCGATTATACAAAGTCAGACAGAGGAAAACACAGATGTGATCTCATTTGCACGCAGTTTACATAATTGAACTTTTGTGAGTAGAGAGCAGAATGATAGACACAGAGGCTGGGAGAGGAGGTAGATCCAGAAGATGGAGGTATTGGTCCAAGGGTGCAAAGTTTCAGTTAGCCAAGAGAGCTAAAGCTGAGTGGTTTATTGCACAGTTTGGTGATTATAGTAAGTGACAATGCATTATATACTTTAAAAGTTGCAAATGAAGCAGATTTTAAATCTTTTTCTAACCAACTAAGAAGTGATCAGCATATGAGGTGGTAGGTAGACTTACTAGATATCCTGAGTTAACTGATAATTCTAAGTTGTCAATACATAACAAAGTAACACATTGTGAATCATACACATGCAAGTACAATCTATCCATTAGCAGAAAGAATTCAACAAACAATTGAATTATAGGTCATGCAACTGTTAAGTAAAACAAACAGCAAGACCAATGGACAGTGTGATGCTGCTGGGGGCTTCCTCAATTTGGGTGCTTTGAACACACTTTCTTTGAGCTGCAACTTGAATAAGGACAAGACAGTGTTTTGGAAATCTGCATGAGGGGTCATTCACACCGTGTCTCCAGCAGAGGCCAAAGAACTTGAGGACAAACATAGGCTGCAAGTCTGGAGCAGTGGACCTAGAATGTGAGCAAGGTGTCAGAAACACTTGAAGGGCCCATTACAACTCAGATTCCTCATGCAGGCCCCAGGCAGTAGGACTGGCTACACAGGGCCTGGTGAGGTACTTGGCTCACAGCTTTCGAATGAATCTCGTGTCATGGGAATAGTGACAACACTCTGAGCATCACAATGATAGAGAGGAGGGAAGGATGCTGGTGCACAGTGAGCTGGGACAACTGGTAGGAAATGATACAGGGACGATGGCAGGCTGGAGCATTCTGATCACAATCTTGAAAGGAGAGCCATGTTTGGCTTCAAACTGATGTGAAACCATTAACAGTCAGTCATTGAGTGCTCCCTGCCTGTTGTTTATCCTTATGTTGTGAGGCACAGCTTAAAAGAATTTGGAAATGACCTGTAATTCCCTCTCTGTTTGATTCCTGACCATCCTTTAGTGGGTGTTAAAGAGTTACTTCTGTTCTCTGTGTAGACTAAAAACTCACTCTCTCACTCACTGTTTAAAAGTATGAGACAAAGGAAAACTATGGATCCAACAGTTCATATCAGTTCATCTCTGTGAATTCATGTCATCTTTGGGCGAAAAGGACCTACCCAAAACACAATGCATGACTTCTAGAAAGCATGCAGCAATCAGTCTTTGGAGAACAAATAGCTAAAGCGAAAACATGAAGAAAATTAAAAGATGTTTTACTGTGTAGTAGACTGCTAAACTGAACACTGTCACATGCAGAAATTAATGACACAGATAAGTGCTGTGACCACTAAGAAGGGCAGGAATCCTGCTTGTAGTTAATAGAGAATGTTATATCTAGGGGAGGCTTGCAGGCTGCTCCTTAAAAATGGTTAAAATATGGTAGTTAGAGGGGAGGAGAATGGCTTTTCTGCAGGTTCAGTAACCATGCAAAGAATTACTGTGTTTTCTCAAAGTTTTCCCCTTTCAAGGGAAAGCCTTCCATGTGTTTTTGATTCTTGAGCACAGTTGAATTACTAGTCCATTGTCTGGTGAGAGCTGTTTGGTTGGGGAGCCCTGTGGACTTCTCAGAAGCTTTTATCCTTTGAAAGACGCTGTCCTGATTTGCCATTGTTAATGAAACTTGAAGGACACAATGCTCAAGTTTAAGACCCACTGAGAACATGACCATGGACCTCCTTTCATCTCCACATGGGGGAACCACATGGCAAATAGGAGCTGCAGAAACCCAGCAGTGGGGCTGTTCCCCCAGTGTTAGTAATTGTCTTGAACTTTCTTATGTCATCTCCTAATAGCTTTGTCTCATGAGTGATGGCCTGCACTGTTTCCACCCTTCATGAATAAATACAAAATGTCTTGCCACCTAGAAGGTAGACTCTCTCTAGTCCTTTATCTCTATTGAACACACATCCTTAAAATCCTGCATTTAGCATTCTGTGCCTGTGTGAAGCTTAGCTTAGCTTGGAAAATGCAAAAGAGGCAATCATTGCAATAGATACTTCTTCACTCTGACAAGTGCTTTTATGCATTAGTTCCTGATTATTACATTTGTCGAGCAAAGGATCCATGCCCTTTGCTGAGGATCTTGAGGAATCTGGAGTTATCCCGAATATTGCACTATTTCTTGTTATCTCAGATATTTCTATTTCTATTTATAACAAGGCTAAAGTATAAGTTAGGACTGAAAAGGAATGGTTGAAGATTGGTGCCAGGCTGACCAAAAGTATGGTTTTAATGGTTGTCTGTAGGGATGAGACTGCAAAGCTTATTTGATTTTCTGTTCTCCTTATGGAGAAAGTAAAGATTCCTAGAATGCCTTGGGATTAGATATACTCACTTAGATATTATGTACATGTGCTCTTATGTTTACATATAATTAGGTAAAGACACATAAAAATAGAAATAATAGCAGAAAGAAAATTAGTCTCGTATTTAATACTTTTTCCTTGCAGCAAAGTAGTTATCTTCTATCTTCTGGTGTACAGATTCTCCAAGAGAGGACATACCCTATCCTGTATATTAAATCTCTAAATAACTGGTGTAGTGTAGTGGTTCTCAAGCTCTAGGCTTCCCTGAAATTTCTGAAGGTTTGCAAAAATAGATTTCTGCCTCCCTCAAACTTTCCAGTTTAGCAGGTGGTCCCCAAGAATTTGCATTTCTCTCAAGTCCCAGGAGACTCTGGGATGCTCTGGTGAAGTGAAGAGACAGGCTCAATGTTGATGTCTCTAAAGTAGACATTAACATTATTGAGGAAATATGGGACCTTGGGTAAATTGGTTTAGTACTTCAAATCTATGGAATGGAGTTTGTCATAATTACCTATTTGAGCTGTTGGGGGACTTAATAATACAATTTACATAAGTTGCTTAACACGTATAGAATACAGCGCACTTGAGTTCATTTTCCCTCCTCCTCTTTTCTACTTATCTTCATTCCAGCATCGCAAAATAGACATAGGGACTTCTAATATCAGAATAAAAACATGTGCTTTATTTCAATAGTGTTATGAGAAGACATTTTGTCTATTTTAGCATTATTCAATAACAAATCCCAGCTCTAAATGAGGTGTCTTTCTAGTCAAATGAAGGCACATGAAGCTTTTATGCAAAGTCTACCTAAAGGAGAACATGTGTTCAGCCCTCTCCCTTTTTCTGTGTAATCATTGATAGTATGTGGCCAAGTTTGTATTTCTGTCATATGTTGTATATACTGAATTGCATGTGATTGAGTTGATATTTTTGATGGTTGTGTTTTGAATGTCTGGGGGCATGATAGCGGTAGACTTAGGTGGTGTCTTTCTTGATTGATTTTTAATGTTTCTTCTAATTTCTCCTTTTCACCCCACAACCCACCCCCATTTCATGTACTACCAGGACCCAGTACAACCTGTCAGGAGGATTCATGTGCTAACCAAGGGGTTTGCATGCAGCAGTGGGAAGGCTTCACCTGTGACTGCTCTATGACATCGTATTCAGGAAACCAGTGCAATGATCGTGAGTTGACAATTTTCCTATTGGGGATATTTTCAAGGGGCTCAGATACATCTTAAGGGGCAATGCAGAAAAAGATCGCAAAGCTGTCCTTTATTTACATTTTAATGTGTAAGTATGGTACACACATGAACACACAGTGTATTTAGTCCATGCTGAGAGAAATCTGATGATTACTCTTTCATTCCTCAGTGGTATACCAGGTGCATTGTTTGACTTATTTCTAAGAAAGGACTGGTGTCATGGAAGTGACCCCGTGCTGCTGCTCATGTTTCAGTGCCATGAGCATCTATAACTTGTCCCTCTAGCTCCTTCTTGTGGTATTTTCCTAACCATGGCCATTTTCAAGATAAGCAAATGTTTGAGACTAGTTGAAAGGGCCTGTGTTTGATGGACCTGAGTATCTGATTTTTCTAAACACAGCCTTTATGGTAGACTTGAACAAATGGTCTAAACTCATTGGAATATTTGGTTTTATAAAACAAGTTAACAAAGTTAATGGATGTTTCCTTATTTATCAACTTTTACTGTGTGTGTAGATATCTCTTGCAATTACTGTTTCCAGTTTTTCAGAAGCCTTGTGATCCACATGTATTCCCTTGTCTTTGGTATGTTAAAGGAGGGAAAATTCAAATCTGGCAGTCTAGAAGAAAACATTATGTACTAGGAAATCTGTGGTAGGGCTTGGCATCAATCGTTTTGCTGAGTACTTCAGTGTTTCTGAGAATCCAGTTTCCATATTTATGATTTGGAAAAGCTATTCTACTCTGAAACAGGCAGTTATGGGCCAATGCAGGGTACCTGGGGGAATTATGCTATCTTTTTTTTCTTTTCCCTCCAATTTGTCTGTGGAAGACTCACTAGGACCCATTTGTATTCTCTCACTGGTGGCATAATGCCTCTTTATCCTCACAAGCTTATTCCCATTGCACACACATCCAACAGCAAGTAGGAAAAAATGACAAGGAAGAGACTTTGCACACAGAAAAAGCAAAAGGTAAGTTTCTCTAATAATCCTCAGTGTGCACAACCTTCAAAAGGTAGGTATGGATTTTTCTGTCATTGATTTATTGTTCTTTGTCACATAGGTCAAGTGTTTTCTGGTAAAGATTACCCAAGACTCTTTCTGGGTTTTTATGACTTGCTTCTGCTTTTCCTCAGAGAAGGTTGCTTCTAACTTGGCCAATTTGTTGATATGCAATGAAGTACTTGGACTAGGATTGGTAGAATGTCATCCCTTTTCATGACACTAGCTTCAAAGCATGAATACTCTGAGAAATGCATTTTAGATGTTATAGTATCAACAAACCTATTGGATCTTTTGTTCATAGAAGACTTAAGGAAGCAAATTGCTCATAAATTCCATTTAACCCAATTTGCAAGCATGTACAAGGGCTTCTGTTATTAGGTGTTGATGTGTAAACAAGGCACATAGCATCTTGATTGCTGAGTAAGAAAAGTGCATAGAAGCCAGATGCATTGGCTATGACTATGCACTTTTAACAAAACTCAAGCAAATATATTAAAATGCAAGTTCGACTAAAAGTATTGCAATGGGTACTCCTTTGTCTGAAGGTTGCCATTCTAATTATCTTAGGACTTTCTCTTTTGGAATTAACATTAGAGCCAGTTTACTCTAACTAGTACCAGTCTCACTACTTTATCTCTTAAACTACTGTGTTCTCTGTTGAACTTGGCTCTTATAACTGTAATTGTTATTTCATTGCATAAATACCTTTAAATGAAGCTTACTGTCTGCTATTCTGTGCCCTTCCTTATGCTAATAAATTCATGAAATCTAGTCTGTGTAATGAGTGTAGAGTATCATCAGAAGGGTTCAACAAGCTCATGGATAGCATAAGCCAAGCCAAGCCATGGCTTTGTTGGTGAAGGATAAGAAGAAAAAGAAGGGATAAAATAAGTTAATGAGAACAGAAAAGAGGGGAAAGACAAATAATACAGAGAAGAGCTGGAATTAGATCATATGTAGAAGAGCCCAGGGTCTCTTAATAATTAATAGCTTGGATAACTTGCATGCTTCAAGCAGCCTGTCCATGACCAAAATCATATATGTGTATGGCATAGCTAGACAAATGCCATCAATCAAATCAGGCCTTTATTTAATTTTTGGAAAAGGAGTACTATATAAAACTTCCTTCCTTTCTTTCTTTCTTTCTTTCTTTCTTTCTTTCTTCCTTCCTTCCTTCCTTCCTTCCTTCCTTCCTTCCTTTCTTTCTTTCTTTCTCTTTCTTTTTCCTTTCTTTCTCTATTTATCTATCATCTATCTCTCTGTAATATATCAATCATCATTATCTATCTATCTATCTATCTATCATCTATCTGTTATCATTATCTATCATCTTCTATATCTCTCTCTAGTTTTCTATTATCTATCTTCTGTTGTCTATCTATATACCTTTTGATTTATCTACCTATCATCTACCTATTTATATATCTATCTCTCTGTCATCTATCTATCTTCTATTATCCATCCATACATCTCTGTAAATACCTAAAATAAATTACATTCCTTTGAATGCTAGTAGAATGCCATGTAAATTGGCTGGATATAAAATCCAGTAGCAAAAGACATTTGGTGAAGGAGGAGTTTGAATCTGATCTGTCATTTTCTATGAGCCTTGGTGAAACAGATTGATCTTTAATTAGTAGAGAGGAAAACATGCTGATTTATTACTGCACATCCAAAAATAGCAGCTTGATCAACAGGGAAATGGCTAGGTTTCATATATTCTAATGTAGATATTCAATTGATATTATCCAAGTGACTTTTAAAGCTCTGAAGAAGAGTGTATATGGCAGTGTTTAGGGTCATGTATCTTAACATTGGTTTTAATGCTAATGAACTCTGCATATTTATCAAAGCTTTTTTTGCTTCACAATTCTGAGGTACTGCCACATAGATACTGCTTCTGGGGGTACAATGTATATTTAAAAGTTTATTCCATGGTATGATACAGCAAGCCTTGGTGATTTTTATTTTATTCCATTATCCTTTGTGTTTGTATGGTGGGTTAATGATGTGGTGGTGGGAATATCATCTCACAAAGATGTGAGGATCATTAAAGGGTGACACATTTTCTGGAGCTGATTATCATGTGTAAGAGTGACTTCCTTGTGTGGGATAGAAAAAGAAACCATCTCATTAGAAACTTAAGTATAATTGATTTACTAACAGCTACCCACAGTTTAAAACATGGACTTCCACTGCTTTCTGTAAAGGTAAAACCAGGAGGAGGCTTTGGGGGCTGTTTTGATACAAACAGAAACAATTTTGAGTTAATGGGGGATTTATAGAAAGATACAGACATTTGCTATGTAACATTCTCTGAGGACAGTCTTTAGCTCCCCTGAACATGTCAAACCAAAGAGGCTGACTGCTCAGTCAGTACCATCTGAGGCACAGCTGATGATATTTATGTTTGGGGGAATAGTTGAAGAACAGCAAATGAAATGGAACTTAATATAATACTTAGAAACTTAGTAAGGTTACTAACTTTTTAATATAACATTTCTATTAATTTTGAGAATTCAATATATGCATACAAATGCATTTTGATCATATTCACTCCCAACTGCTTCCTCTAAGTCCTCCCAGATTCAACTCCAAGCCCTCCTAATTTTGTACCTTCTTTTATCTTACAGTTAGCTCACTGTGTCTAGTTTCTGCTGACCACATACTTACTCATAGGTTGGATATGGGTCTATCCATTAGAGTATGGCTGGCATTCCATGGGGGCCACCCTTAAAGAAAACAAATCTCCCCACCCAGAAGCCTTCCCAGCTGCGGTGGGCACTCATGAGCTCCCTTTCCCTCCAGGCTAAAATTCAGTGGTTCTTACAAAGATATTATTTTTAGAAATTGTATTTTCTTTGGAATTTTAAGTGAGGACCAGGAGTCTGGGAAATTCTAGCTTGCAGCCATTGTTATACTGTCAGGAGCATCTAGACTACCACATACCACATTGTATGACAATGCTACTCCCATTAGAATCTTTCCATTGACTTTTTTCCTCTTCCACATTGCACAAAATCTAGCTCTTCTCCATACAGCTACAAATATTGTCATTTCTAGGAACTTCATGAGAACACCAGTTTCAAACATGCCACACTTCTCTCCTTTACGATGTTCTTAACCACTTACCATGTTTGTAAAAACTGTTTGGAGTTGCAGACAACTCTCGGATCTCATTATTACATTTGTGCTCTGGAGATGCATGTGTAGGGCAACTCAGGCATCTAAGCCCTGAGCACACATTGGTTGCCCAGGTGTAGGAATGAAGCATTTATATTGGCTTTGTGGGATGAGAAGAAGGGAATTGACGCGGGGCCTCAGATAACCCTCAGCAGACAGCTTTCCCGTGCTGTACTGATAACTGTACACTGCAGGCTACTTGGTGGAGAAATTGCTGGGTTCACACTGGCATGTGATAATAGATGTTCTTTGCGTTCAACAAATCAATAGTGAGCAGCTGTGGATCGTGCAGATAGTGAAGTGTGAAGCACCTTTTCAGACAGTGTTCTGCAGGAGTGGCTGTTAAGTTGTGCTGCTGGCTATTGATTGGCCTTTTGCTTTTTATTTATTGCATTGGTCTATCTTTTTAAATGTAGGTTGATGTATTGATTAAGACTGTTAAAAAACACTACCCACTTAAGTTTTGGGAAAAAAGCAGCAATATCTACATTATTTAGTACACAAAAGTGGATAGGTTTATGTATATTAATTCAATCTCTGGGCTTTTTATACATACACAAGCATCATGCTTTTACAGTACATTTGTGTGTCTGGTTAGATGTTTCCCCAGCTCTGTATTCTTATTCTATCCATCCAGCTGATAAACCTGCTTTGAATTTACTTGTGAGACAATTTCTTGTTGTGCAGAATATTCTTCATCTTTTATTAACTAGCCAGATATTTTCTATTCATAGACCCGTGTATGAATAAGACATGGCAGTCTCATGGGGAAGACACATATCAAAGTATT